ACAAGAATGGGTTATAACCGCAGAAAAAGATGCTTAGTATCAGTACTTATGAGAAAAATGCAAAATAAAACTATAATGAGAAATCATTTCACACTCATATGAATGGCTAAAATTTAAAAAATAATTAGAGCCTGGATTTAGAGAAACTAAGATTCTCACTCAGTTACTTTCACTCTATATCTATTCATGATTATAAAATGGAATGGCTACTTTGAAAAACTGTTGGGAAGTTTTTTTTAAAAAGTTATCCACCTTTTAATTTTGTTTTTTTGGTGGTGCTGGGGGGATTGAACCCAGGGCCTTGTTCAAGCACTCTACCAACTGAGCTACACAAGGCAAGCACTCTACCAACTGAGCTACAACCCCACCAGACACTAGTATGGCAATATGTAAATCAATGGATGTGTAACTGATGTGATTCTGCAATCTGTGTATGGGGTGAAGGTGGGAGTTCATAACCCACTTGAATCAAAGTGTGGAATATGATATGTCAAGAAATTTGTAATGTTTTGAACAACCAACAATAAAAAATTAAAAAAAAAATACACACCTCTAAAAAAAAAAAAAAAGTTATCCACCCTAACCCAAACACTCCATTCTTGGGTATCTATATGAAAGTGTGTATCTATAAAAAAATTGCATATATGTATTCATGCAGAATGGTAATAACAGAATACAAGACAACTATCAATCAACAGCAGAATGAATAAACAAATTGTAGTATATTGATCCAATGGAATACTACTCAGCAAAAACAGGAATAACAATGGATGAATTTCAAAAATATTTTTAATGGAAGAAACTAAACAAAACTACACACTCATGAACACACAAACAAACACACTGTGGAATTCCACTATGTAAAATTAAAAAAATAGGCAATCCTGGGGTTGGGGATGTGGCTCAAGTGGCAGCGCGCTCGCCTGGCATGCATGAGGCACTGGGTTCGATCCTCAGCACCACATAAAAATAAAATAAAGATATTGTGTCCACCTAAAAAAGATGAAAAGTAAATATTTTAAAAAATTAGGCAATCCTTGCCTACAGTGATTAAAATCAGAAATACTTGCCTCTGAGGCAAAAATGAGGTCAATTGGAAAGAGAATTAGAAAACTCTCTGGAATGATGGCAACACTCTATATCTTGCTTGGAGTGGGGTTACAACTACAGATAACAATTGTCAAAGTATCAAACCATATACTTAAAATCTGTGTATCTTGCTATACAACTGGGAGAAAATAGTTCACCAGGAAACATTCTTTTTAAATAAAAAGAATGGTTCACTTCACTAACTTATAATTATCTATGTTGTCACAAATGACAAGATTTTTTTTCATTTTTAAGGTAAATATTTATTCCATTGTGTATACACACCACATTTTTTTTGCCCATTCATCCACTGATGGACATATGACTCTATATGTTGGCTATTGTGAATTGTAGTACAATGAAAATAAAGTACAATTATCTTTGAAATATTGATTTCCTTTCCTTTGGATATACACCAAGTAGTAGCTTCTAGATCTTATGGCGGTTTTGTCATATATATTAAGGAACCTCCATATATATTTCCATAATGATTGTATTAATTTACATTCCTATTCACTGAGTACAAGAGTTTGCTTTTCTCATAACCTTGCCAATTTTTCAATAATAATCATTTTAAAGGATTGAGATGATACATCTCATTGTGGATTTTGATCTGCATTTCCCTGATGATTAGTGATGTTAAGCCAGGCACAGAAAGTTGATCTCTAGTGGTTACCAGAGATGCAGTGGATAGGAGGAAGAGGGGGTTGACCAAAGGATATGCATATATAGTTAGATAGGAAGAATAAGTTGAAGAGATTTTCTATGCAGCATGCTGACTATGTTAATGATAATATATTGTATACTTGAAATATACTAAGGGAATTTTTATTAAGTCTTACCATGAGAATGACAACTATGAGAGGTAATGCACTTATTAATTAACTAGATATACCATCTCACAAAGTATACAGTGTATAAAAACCTTTCTATTGTGCATGATAAATGCAATTTTATATCTCGATTTAAAAACAAAAAGGCAACTCAAGTAATATAATTATTTAATACAAGGAAGAGAATTGGTATGTCAATAGAATTACCTAATACCTTTTTCAGAAATAATATTTCAAGGATTTTCAAAGATTTTTTTCAAGGGTAAAATAATTTTCAGTATAAGTAAATGAACCCAGTCTTATGGGTTCTTCTAAATAGAGAAACTTATTCTTGAGAAAAACAAAGAGGAAACCAGAGCATATAAATATTTCAGTCTCTTAGTAATTAAAAATATAACAATTCACAATCTGGAGGATTTTAAGACACGAAAGAGCCCAACTAAACAAAGGTGAAAAGATCAAACATGGGATGTAAAACTAACAGCTGTGACTTAGTGAGTTAACAAATATGCTGAATAAAAACAAACTCAACAAAGTGCTGGAAAGTCTGTAGCTTCCAAGCAATTAACACACTAATCAGAAACACTTGCAATGTATAATCAGTCCCATTTCATTCTAAAAGCAAGAATTATTTGGTTATAATGGATTCTTTCCATTTAGAAGTAAAATTAAGGAAACAACTAGATAAAGGTATGCATGAAGCAAAGAGGAAGTAGCCCAACTTGCTCTACCAAAGGAGTGTCTATTTTCAGTGAATAAGATAAAAAGTTTGGACTTCATCTCTTCAATATCTCTTCAATATCATTCCTTCCACATTAAAAGTCTGAACACATCAGCTAATTCCCTGGTAAGACAATGTAAATTTGAAGGTTTGCATTCATACTTTTATTTTCAAACCTCAACACCAGTTTTAAAAGTGAAATCATCATTTCAATCATGTTATTAATTTCCAATTAGTAAATAGCCAGAAGTGAGTCTAACTTCCCATATCTTGAATTTCTAGACAGAAATCCAGAATTAGAAAACACTTTAGAGGACTGGACTAGTAACCAGAGTTTAGGCTCTAATATGGGGTAACCACAATTATCTTTTTTTAATAGTAGTTCTCAACATTTTCATACCTGACACACCTATATCATTTGTCATAACACATCAGAATCTTTTGTTCTATCTATACATCTCTCTTCATCTACACCCTCTGATCTCTAAACCCTTTCCTAAAATCATATGTCCTATCTCAATACTCCCTCATAATTACTTCCATGTGTATTTTCTCCTCCTTTCTCTCTACAATGAATGAGGTACTCTAGGAGGTTAGAAGTCATAGGGAGAAATGAGCAATGCACAACGTCTTTGGGGCAGAAGGGACAGTAGCCCAAGTGAAATTATACTCCTTCCCAATTATACATGTTAGAAATTATTATTCTATTACATGTAATGCTTACACATGGCACTGATTTAAATTTAAATACTACTATCCTGAATTATTTAACTTTCCCACTTTTTGTTTTCCTCCTCAATCATCATACAACTACTAAGGTAAAGTTAATTACCTTCATAAATATTTAATAACTGATAGAACCAAGGAATAGATTCAAGATGGCATTAAAATTACCTCTAGTTTTCCTCAAAGTTTACAAAAATAAGCTAAGTTGAACAAAAACAAAATATTCAGGGAAACATAGATTCTGCTTTTCATTCACTGAATGATCAAATACATTGACATTAGAGAATTTATATTAGCATAAAAGTAAATATGTTTAATAGTTTATTTTTATTAATACATTCAGGACAATGTAATTAGGGAACTGTATAATGTTATCTGAGCCTAGATCACCCCAAACTTGTAAATTCCATACTCATAAACATGTGTCAAGGTGAATAATCTCATGAGGATTTTTTTAAACTCCTGAACAGGACTGGCAGAGATAGCTGTTAGTCAAAAGGAAAGCAAAAGAACTTTATGGACAATTTAGCCCTTTTAGAGCACCAATATCCTTCTACATAACACTAGAATATAAGTTCCCTTAGAGTTGGTGAAGATCACATGAAATAATATATATGAAGGAGTTCTATAAATTATAGTGGATTTGTGAAATTTAAATGCCATTTCACTGATGAAGATAAGAATTACAGTAAAAAAAATTAAAATGTTATATTAAAGAAGTAAGATACTAAACAAATCCTTGCTGCATTAGACAGACTTAAAAGACACATATGCCCTACAAATTGGATCAAGAAATTTATTCAAACTATATGTCTCAGGATATAGTGAATGGCATTGATTGGATCCTAAGTCTCCCTCTCTTGTATTTTATGATGCCCATTCAGAATGAGCCAGGTTGAGAACATCACCAATTCCATGTTCTAGGTCCATCTGTTGGCAAAAATATAATGCAAACAGCTTTAAAAGTGCTATTTTCAATGAAATATCACAGAACAGCTTGTCCCAATGATATTTCTAAAGCTTGCCTGCAAACCGCCTACTGGGAAATCCAACTGAAAGAGAAGGGGAAAGAGAAAAAAAAAATACAGATAAAAAACAGGAATGAAAAAGGAAACAAAGGGTAAAGAAAGACTAACAAGGAATGTGAACTCTGAAAAAAAAAATAAGGAAGAATGAGAGGCACAATATCAAACACAAATGACATTAGTTAGAAGCCATAAGGAACAGAGAACTTAAAATATCTCTCTATAGGAGATAGAGAAGTAAGCATAAATAATGCAGTATATTCAGAGGAATAAAGACAAAAGAAGAAGGAAAACATCAGAACACACTAACAGCTCAATAATTGGAGTATCATTAAAATGCTGTGAAAGGGAAACGTGAAATAGTCATTTTTCTGAACTTCTCTTTTAATGCTTGTAATACACAAGGTTCATTTTTCCAAAAGCTAATACAGACTTCAGTGTCTATTACCAACTTCAAAGGAAGCAAACATCCTTTTGTGAGACCCTTCTTTTAATTTAAAAAATCCATTACATATCATAATAGTCCGAACATTACAATATAAGTAGTATACATGCATTGATTTAAAAATACATTCTAATGTAGATGATGTAATTTAGGAAACTTACCTGGGGTCGAATAACTTTTACAATATTTTTGAGGGCAGTGTCAGGGGATGGAGGTGAGCAGTCAGGTGTTGGGCCTGTTGAGCTGTTTCTATGGTTACTAGTTCCTGGAGCAGTAATTGCTACTTCAGAGGCATTATCTGGGAATAAAAATAGAACTATCATGAATCTAATCACTCATTTTACCTTTTAAGACCTGAAATTACTTTTGTGAATATGAATTGAGATTTCATCTTATGACTGGTATCAATTTTACAAGAACATAATGAGGAATATGCTCATTGGTACATTTTAAGATAATGTTTTCAAATGTTTTGTTTCCTGTTAAAATAGTATCCCCCCATAGTATAGTTCCAAGAATATTAATATCATTCAATTCACAATGACAAATCATGCCTCATCACTTTTAAGACTGCAACTACTACATGAATGACTACGACTTTACCTTAACTTAAAAGGAATATGATCTGGCCAAAGCTTTCCTCATAACCTTTCAATGAGTATTCATTTTTATTAAGTAGGAGTTTCATCTCTCTGTGATTCATAAAACCCAAACACAGGACTCCTCAAACAACTTTCCCTGAAATCCCTCAAACTATAGAAAAGAAGGCCAGTAAATGAAGCCTGAATGAAAAACTGACATTTTTTAAAACAGCTTTATAATGTAAACAAACAAAATTATAACCCTAAGAAAATCATATCATTTTATATGGTCAAAACTAAATGAATGAAATTTCAAAATCTAAATGAATCTTCCCTTATGTTGGGTATTTGATGGGGTTAATATGAGGCAAGGTAGTAAAGAAAAATTTCACTTGAAATTCTGCAATAAGTGTAACATTTTCTTCTTAAATTTATATTAAAATACAATTTTGGAATGTTTAAAACACTTGAAAAATGATGGAAATGTCTGTAGATAACTTCTGCTAGCATATATATCATTTTGGCAATCCTCTACAACCTTTCATGAAACCAGTATGATGAAGAGATACCTGACTCCTGTGTTCAATGCAGCATTATTCACAATAGCCAAGATATGGAATCAAACAGTGTCTATCAATAGATGGATGCAAATAAAATGTTATATATACAAAATGGAATATCATGGAGCCTTTAAAAAAGGGGAAATCCTATCATTTGCAACAACATGGATTAACCCAGAGGCCACTATGTTAATTAAAATAAGCCAGTCACAGAAAAGTAAATACTGCATGTTTCTCACTTATATGTGGAATCTCAGCAAAGTTAAAACTTATAGAAGCAGAGAACAGAATGGTGGCTGCCAGGGTCTAAAGAGGTATTACTGGTCCAAGAACACAAATTTTCAATTACATTGGAGCAATAAGCTCAAGAGATCTCTAAAATACTTAATAAAAAGCAGTGGTAGCCTTGAAAATTCATAAAAGAGTAGAAATTGTTTTAAACATGTGCAAAAAGTGATATGTGAGGTAATCCACATGTGAATTACTTATTTAGCCATTTCATAATGTATATATGTTTCAAAACAGCATACTATACACAATAAATATATGTATATTTAATTTGTATTTTTCAATTAAAAGTAATTACAATTTTTGAAAAATAATTTCTTGATGTGTTGTATATAGGAAAAGAGAGAATTCAAGGATGTCAAAGGCTTTGGCCTGAGTAACTGAAAGGATGCATGCTACCGGTAGTAATAGGAGTCTGTAGGAGGATCACAAAGTCTCACCTTACTGTTTCCAATATTGTCTCTACCCCATTTTCTTTCATTTTTAATTTTGGACTAGAAGGAAATAATGCTAGAAAGAATTTATTCCTTTTATCATTTATTGTCTCTGTTGTACTTTTTCATTTTGTTTCTCTATACAGCATTCAGAATAGTTTATTCAACTCATTTCCCCATTTATTAGTTCTTTTTTTAGCTGTGTCTAATCTGCCATCAAAACCTTTCTTAATTTAAAATATACTTTTCAATTCTAAAATTTCCATTTGGTTCTTACTAAAATACACTATATCACTAGTTAGAATTTTTCAGTCCATAAAAACATTTTTAAGCTTGCTTTTATTTATTTGAAAATTGCAAGTAAAGTTGTTCTCTCTCTCTCTCTCTCTCTCTCTCTCTCTCTCTCTCTCTCTGTGTGTGTGTGTGTGTGTGTGTGTGTGTGAGAGGGGGGGGGTGTTTAGAAGGAATTAATAAAGGTATTTTAAAATTTTTTGGTTGACACGTAATAATTGAATGTACTTATGAGGTAGGATGTGATATTTCAGTACACAGAAACAATATTTAATGATATGGATATTAGCATACAAATAGATATGGATAATTAGCATACAAATCATCTCAAACATTATTATTTGTTTGTGTTTTAAATAGCTTATAAAATTAGGGAAGGGTAAAAATGGAAAGATGATGGTCAATAGATACAGGAGCATCGGTGGACAGGAAGAATGACTTCTAAAGATTTTGGTTTGTTTATCTGTACCTGATAATTCTAGTATCTGCAGTATCCATGGGTCTGTTTCTGTGATTTTGATTTTCACATGTGCTATTCTATTGTTTGTCTCATTATCAATTTTGTGCTGCTATTCACTCAACTGGTTAGAGCAAAAAATGCAGCATTAAATTTAGCTAATTATTTCTCTTTAGCCTCTGTAATTCAAAAAAGCATCAAAATTTACATACAAACACCTATTGCTGAAGTCTGATATTAAGACAATTTAACCTTTCAGGATTTCAGTGTTCTTAATTATAAAAAGGAATGATTAATAGCTATGTTGTAGGTTTATATGTATAGATAAAATAGAAGATAAATAACTGTGTTACCAGATATACAGTAGTTTAATAAATGAGTTTCCTTTTCTGCTATCAAACCAAATATCATCAAAATTTTAAAAATGTAGAAGATGAAAGAAATTCCAGGGAAGAAAGCAAGAAAAGAAATAGAAAGGATCATGAATACTTCAGTGAAATTTGAGGCCAATATCTTTTATCTATTAACACAAATTGGTAGGGACAGAATTTAATTCCAAAAATAAGAGATAATCCCTTGAGAGCTTGAGGGATATATCTAGAAAGAAAGATTTACTATGAGGAATTGGCCCACAATACATGGAAGCCAAGGTTCCAAGGTATGCATATGGCAAGCTGGAGACCCAGGAGAGCCAATGGATAGTTCTAGTCTGAGTCAAGAGGACTGAGAATCAGGAGAAGTGATGTTATAATTATAAGTTCAAGTCCAAATGGATCTTAATAGAAGAACTAAAATTTCAGTCCAAGTTAAAAGTCCAAAGGAAATGTTCCAGTTCAAGCAGTCAGGCAGGAGGAGTTCTCCTTTACTCAGTCGGCTTGCTCTATTCAAGTATTCAGTTGATCAAATGAGGCTTATAACATTAGGAAGGACAATTTGGTTTGTTCAGAATACCATTCAGAAGTTAATCTCATCTACAAACAACCTCACAGACATACTGAAAATAACGTTTAACCAAATAGGCTGCAATAGGTGGAGGTGGGATGGAAGGGGATAGTTAATGAGTACAAGAATGCAGTTGGATAGGAAAAGTAACCTCTGATGTTCCTTGCACAGCAGGGCAACCAGTAGAGAGAAACTTGAATGTTCCAAAAAACAACAACAACAACAACAAAAAGATAAATATTTGAGGTGGTGGATGTGCTGATCACCCTGATTTCAAAGTAAATTGCCACACTGTGAGCAGTCTTATGGAAGGCCCATTTGGCATGGCAAGAGACCTGTGCCCACCATGAGTGAAACTTGTCAACCACTACATAAGCCAATTTGAAAGCAGATCCTTCATTGCCAGTCAAGCCTGGAAATGACCTAAGTTCTGTGAAACAGTTTGACTGCAGCCCAAAGAGAGACCCAAGCCAATGGTTTTCAGCTACATTCTTTCTAGATTCCTGCAGTGGGACACAACCATGGAAGTTTATTACAGCTTTGGGAAACTATAGATAGGCTATAAGTAGCCTGGTTGGAGCACTGAATATCCATGGAAAAGTGAATGAAGAGGATATTGGTAAGATAAAGTATATAAATGAAAGATAAATGAAAAGGAAACAAAATTGTCCTTGTAAAATATTAAAGTTTTTGTTTAGAAAAAAAACAGGCCTGAAATTTGTTTTCCTTAAAACTATGATCAAATGCTGCTTTCACCTATTTTAAAAAATACAGACTACAAGGTTATAGAGTCACTTAAAAATACTTTACATGAAAGAAGCCACATCTGTGTGCTAAAGGGTGAAATAATTGAACAGCAACTTCAAGATGATTTTCAGTGTTTGATCAATTCCAATCTATAAAGACCTTTGGTCTTATCTATACCAGAGAAGTTCTTTTAATAAGCCAACAACCCTAGAGTTGGGAAGGCATTTTAAAAAATCCAAAATCTCATTTCAACAATGAAAAGTAACACAATGAACAAACTGGTAGAGGACTCGGCTCTTTCTTCTCATCCATCTAATCTTCATTCTTCCCATTCTTTATCCCTTAGCAGGAAGAGAGCATTTACCTTAATCATTTATCAGAATTCTTCTGTCATTGGTGACAATATTATTAGGAGAAAGGTTTACATGTTTTATAGATTCTCTACTCAGAATCTCAAGGGTTTAGGAGGATCTCAGGAAGTTGCTGATAGAATTTCACCATCTTCCCAGGATGGTGCCAGGTGCCTTGATAAGTGGGCACTGACTCTCCCTAAAGTGAAGTTAGAAAATGAACTTGCTAAACTCCCCCCCAAAAATTAGAGAAGTTAGAGATGAAATGACTATTCTTCTATATCAAGAGGAAAATTCCAATATTCTTCCACACTCATGAAAAAAATAAGTCTATTTTAATCAGATTCTGTGACAGTTTATATACTGACTCATATGTATCATTTATGAACTTCTATTTACTCTCTTTTAGTGACAAAAGCATTAGCATCTCTCAGTCTTGTTTTGTACCCCATGCTTGCCATCATATTAGGAACTTTCAGATTCCTCATAGATAGTCAATCACCTAGGCCTAAAAGTTTTTTCAATTCTACTCATATGAACTTTGCCTTAACTCTGTTAAGGTTTCCATGTCAAAGCTAACTTATGTACTTCACTATAAACATCAATGGCTTCATAAAGACATATAATCTCTAAGAACCCTTTATGTAG